CGAATGTGATATCAGGGAACCACACATCCGAGCTTAACACATATATGTGGTCCATTCCGCAGTAATCCTTTGGGTTCCATTCAAGCCGCTCATCTGTCCAGTTCTAAGAAACGACAGTGCAAGTACTCAAAACTCGGAATAATGACAATGAAAACAACTATTTAGTATGAAAAAAGCTGAAATTTGAGAACTCACCATAGTATACTCAGTGTCGAACTCCGCTTTTTGTTGCGGTTCATCCTAAACAACTGATTTCAAAATGTAGGCGTTATTTTTCTTTTACAATGAGTTCAGGATGTACCATGTTGGTCAGCATCATATATGTCAGCGTAAGCAAAACTTCATACTTTGGATGGCTTTCGTCGGTGAAGTTGGAATCTGGAAGATGGGTAAATAGGTGATGGACATAATGTACTGAGGGCTTTCCTGTTACTTACTCTCTACAACGGCTGACAACTTGCGGTTGTAATCCATGAATAGCGTTTTGTGTAGTCTTGATTGTTCATGAAAGTAGTTTTTGTGATCTGAAAGTTATACTGCTTTGTGCAAGTATCTATATATTAAAAGTCCATGTGCCTATTTGAGAAAGTAAATTTTGCGGGATCCGCGCGACCCCCGCAGCGAACGTACCTGCAAATTTAGCACCCTTAAGATCACTGGTTCACCTGATTTAGAGCAAAAATGTCAAAATTGAGCAAAGCTTTGATTCCTGCTTTACAATGACTTTAATTGTAGATGTTTCAGATTGACTGCTTATGCTCAGCTTCTGACTCTTTTTCAACCAGCTGAGTAATGGTTGCAAAAGTGCTATTTGGTAAGCAAGCTATATAGCGGATTAATTTATACAGTCATGCCCAATCCTAACCAGGCCAAAATTGGAGGCGGAAGACCGCGTCTCTAGGGTCTCGCGTCCCGCCTACAACTCTCTTGTCTGTTCTCTCTTCAATCACTTCGCTCCCTCCTACAGCGCGCATATGCGGCACGAACCCTTAGCGGTGCGAGCGCGCAATTTATTTTAACGGTTCCGCAAGTTGCACTCACCAGCAAGTTGACACTCCGCTGATACATAGATGCACGTAGATGCTAACGAGCAAAGTGTGGCAACAACAAGCATGTAAGCCTGCGAAGCTATTTACTCATTAGGATCGCATAAGAATGATCGTAAGATGAAAATTCGAATTTAATGACATTAGATGCAAGCCTGCTCAAATCAGACAGGTTTTGTACCGGAATCCTTTTGATTCTGTCAAACCCTTCTCAGGTAGAGTACAAAGTCTAGTTTATAGCTCTGTTTGTAGCTAATATGGTTTATTTTATAACAACACTTGATAAATTTAGTGAAGTAAATCGGCAAATGGTATTCGGAAGCGCTAAAGTTAACATCTTCATAACATTGATCAAATGTATTTTATAAGCAATTTTGATAACGGAAACACTACATTTTCCCTTTATCTGGTGGTGCACATACCATGCGGATATA